TAAAAACATTCATATCCTAATTTACTAACACTTGTTGGAATATTAATTGATTTTAATGATGAACATAAATAAAAACAACTACTTCCTATTCTACTTATACTTGTTGGTATATTAATTGTTCTTAATGATGAACATTGATGAAAGCAATCTTTTCCTATTTTACTAACACTTGTTGGTATATTAATTGTTGTTAATGAATAACATTGATAAAAACATCCATCTCCTATTTCATTTACACTTGTTGGTATATTAATTGTTCTTAATGAATAACACCAAAAAAAACAACATTCTCCTATTTCACTAACACTTGTTGGAATATTAATTGTTCTTAATGATTCACAACAACTAAAACATTCATTTCCTATTTCAATTACACTTGTTGGTATATTAATTTCTTGAATATCATCACATCCATAAAAAACTTTATTTCCTATTTTACTAACACTTGTTGGTATATTAATTGTTGTTAATGATTCACACCAACTAAAACATTCATTTCCTATTTCAATTACACTTGTTGGTATATTAATTGATGGTAATGATTTACATCCATCAAAACATTTATTTCCTATTTGACTAACACTTGTTGGTATAGTAATTGATTCTAATGAACAACATCCTTTAAAACATTCATTTCCTATCACTTCAATGTTTGTTGGTATGTCAATTTCCATCAAATCATTACATCCCTTAAAACATTCATCAGCTATTCCATAGTATCTTTCTGGTATTCTCTTTCCATATTTCTTTCTATCTTCAATTCCAAACATGTTCTGTTCTTTTTCTAGTTTTTTCTTTTTTAAATACTGTTGAATGAAGAATTATATTTTTCTATTTTATTCCAATGATGTTTATCCCACTTCTGTTTTTATATTATCGTTACATAGAGTTAAAAATATCATCCTCATTCTTAATGTATTGTTATTTGTATTTATTTTATCGTTAATGACATTTCATCATTTTATGTTTGTTGTCTTTTCTTTCATCTCTAGTTTCGTTAACACTGCTCTGTCGTTATTTTTATCTTTTTATATAAACATCAATGATGTTTTATTGGTATTTATATATTTTCTTGTCAACATTTTCTTTTTATTTCTCTTTTTTTCTTTTACGTTTATTACCCCTATTTTTATTATCCTTCTTTCTCTTCTTTTTCCATTTATTTTGTTGTTATTTCATTTTTCTTTATAATTTCTTTCGTATTCAAATTTTATGTTTAAATTTAAAATATTTTTTCAGATTTATTTCTTCTTTCTTATCATTTCTTTTTAAATTAAATGAAAACTAGTTAATTAAGTGTTCTTACAACTTCTTTCTATTCTTCCTAGCTATATGGAGACTAATCGCTTTAAAAAAAATATTATTCTTTTCAGTTAACTTAGTGAGTGAAATTAATTGTCAATATTAACCATTATCATTTTAAATTCTGTTTATTAAATCTATCTTTTCTCTTGACTTTTTGCTTTTACCATCTAACTCTTCTCATTTTTATCGTTTGTTGTTTTTTGCTTCTCATCTCATTCTTCTAATTCCTCTTAGATTTTCTTTAAATTAAAAATAGATAAAACTTATCGAATTGTTTCTTATTTCATTCCAATTTCTCTCATGTTTATTCCTTTATTTTTATTGTCATTACTCTTTCATTGTTTTGAAGTCATCATAACATTTCATGGGGGTAATGATTCTGATATATAAAAATATTCCCTTTTTTCAAATATTTCAATTTTCTTTTATTTTCTATCGAATAAAGAGATCGAAGGTGGCATGTCTAAAACACCACACAAACCCTAGTACAAATTCAAGCATCGACACTTCCAGTTATTATCTGGTTATGACGGTGTATTTGAATTAGAAATGTATTAGGTAAAGTTGCAAATGGTGTAGCAAGATATTATGATAGAATATTACATGGTGTAATATAAGGAACTACTAAAGTGTGGGTAAGGCTAAAAGAAAATTAAACATAATAATATAATGGGAATGAAATGTTTTCTTCTCTCATTCATAAAATAAAGAAAAAAGGAAAAAGAAAATGTTTAAAATTAAGACAGAAAACAAACAAAGGATTAAAAAGAAGGAATAAGCAGAAGAAGTTTGAAAACCATTAATAAGAAGAAATAAAACAAAGAATTGCTTTCCTCATTTTGCAAGAAAAACCTAACGAATAGGCTAAACAAAAAGATTACTCTTTTTTAAGAAGTGAAGGGATGTGATTAGTCTCATCTAAACTATGAACAATAAATAAAAATTCTATTAACATTTAATTAATTACTTTTTATTTAGTTCATCTTTTATCATTTGTCATTTCTTGTTTATTCATATTTGTTGTATATATTATTATTATTATTATTTATTTTATGTTGTGTTATTCTTATTTATCTTTCTTATTATGTTTTGTTTATTATTGTTTAAATAGAAAATAACAATAAGAATGAAATAAAGAAATAAGAAATAATAACATAAATATGTTGATGTATTTTATCATTTCTTTATTTGTTTATTATTATTTCTATTATCTTATTCATTTGATTCATAATGAATTAATGAAATGAAATAATACAAATGAATTGTTTATTCATTTCATCTTATTTCATTTTATTCTTATTTATTTTCTTATTTATTAAAAACACTCTCATTGGGTGTGAATATTTCAAATGAAATAAAATAAATCAACATTGAATTATGTCCATTTTTAATTCACCATTTCTTTCATTGGCAGATGATTGAAATGTTCATATTTTTCATTGATTTGTTTTTATTCTTTTTTAGTTCCTTTTCAATTAATCAAGATTGAATCATTTCATTTCAATTACTATGATTCGTTTTGGTGTGAAATGATTTGGATATTGTTTTCCACAAAGTGCATTTATTATTCCTTTATATTCAAATGAACGTTGTTTACAATATGATTTTGTTTTATCATTTTCTTTACAAACAATAATATCATTACCTCCAAATTCAAACAAACAATCATCATATTGATTATGTAATATAAACGCACTTTGTGGTTCTTTAATATCGTATTTCTTCATTCATTTCATG